GTATATATATATGAGGCCTCTCGAGACACAGTGTTAGAGAGAAGCAGAGGCACAGAGACAGGCCAGGTTGTTCTCTGTGTTTCCTGTTGTTGTAATAAAACTCAGCTGATCATCTCACGGAGTACCTTCATTCTTGGACCACGTATTTCTGTCTTTGTTAAACAAATATCACCATAACAGTGGATGTATACATTATATGTACATTTATTTGAGTTTTTTGTTTTTGTTTCTTACTTTTTTCCTGCTGACATAATATGCATTTTAATTTTTATCATATGACTCAAAATAAACTAACTTGAATAAAACCAGAAGCTTTTATTGAACTTCTCTGTTGGTGTCAGAGACGTCCTGTTAAAGATGATGAACCAGCTGAAAACTTCCTCCTCCAGTTTTCACTTCTGCCTCTGGATGGAGCCACAAACATTCAGCATCAATAAACCAGAATAAAAAAACAACAACTTCCTCTAAACCTGCAGCAGCAGATTGTTTTATTCTCACTTCCTGTTCTAATCCAACAAACTGAGCTCAGCTCTGTGACARCTGCCTCTAATCTGACAAACAAGCAGATTAAATGTTAGAAAACCTCCATCTGTCCGTTTCATCCTCAGACGTCTTTTTCCTGTTTTTTTACTTTCGTTTCTTTGTTTCCTTTTGAAGAGGTGTTTTCATGAGCGACGAGTCTGGACAGGACGGTGACTCAGACTGATATCTGAGAACTTTATTCCTCCTAATCCACACACAAACAGTTTGCTCTGCAGGCTTTTAGTCTGGATTATTCCAGAGAGCCTGCGGTGATCCAGGCTTGGACCAGAAAGCAACAATAATGTTTTTTATCCTCTGGTATTAGMAGGGTTCAGACTCATGACAGAACTGGTTTTTATGGGCCTAAAAGTTTATTTGTTATTAAAGCAGGGAATTAAAACTAATAGAAATAATCCTKTAAAGGATAAATGACTCAAACTGAACACACAACTAATAAAACAGCAAAGAGCTGGATTTAAGATTTAAAAATTAATTAAATCCTTCAAGGAATAAACCGAATTGTAGTCATTTCAGTGTCCGTTAGCTGCGACAAAACAATAGAAAAAAACACAAAATGTTAACAAAAAACAACAAAACGACAAAAAATGAGCTGTGAAATATTAAAACTTCACAACATGATGAAGGATGACTTCATAAACACAAAACAGCAAAGAGACGAGATGAACCTGAAACTGGAGGAGCTGGAGGGGGTCTCTGAGGATGGTGGAGGTCTGGGTTTGTCTCCTGGACCTGCTGGTCCTGCTCCCGATAGATAAGATGGAGACGGTTTGAGTTAAATAAAAATATAAATAAAGAACAGTGTTTCACAGTTGAGTTAAAATCAACCAATAACAACTGCAGAATGGGTGTTCCACAAGGCTCTATTCCAGGACCACTGATGTTTTTATTATTTTACTTCTACCTAAAAGTTGTAAAATGTTCCAGTGTATGCAGATGATGCCCTCATATATACATGTAATAAAGACTCTACCTGGCAGCAGAGGTCAGAGGTCACAGTGTTATATTCATATTTAATCTCTAAATGTCACCAGAACTGTCCGTTTTTTATGATCAGACATGAAGTTTTRAAGATTATTTATTTATTTAACATGATTTGTCTCAGGTCACCCTGGTTGTTTGAAGAACAACAGATTGGTCCTGCAGGTTTTGTTCTGATTACAGGTGTGGCTCCTCCTGCATGTTTCACTCTGAGGTTCTGTCAGAAACACCAGCAGCAGGGTCAGCAGCAGCAGCAGCAGCAGCAGCAGCAGCAGCAGCAGCAGCAGCAGCAGGGCGTAGCTCCGTCCAACATGTAGCAACACATTCTGTCACGTCAACAACACGCTGTGGAAGCTGCAGCTGCAGCGAGCTCACTGGAGCTGAAACTAACAACAAATTAACAATTTATTCCAGTTTCTACAGTTTTACCTGAAGCGCGTCAAAGATCARTGTTTTTATGGTGAAACTGAAGAAACTCCAGTTTTAACTGTTATGACATCATCAGTAAAACCACAGCCGAAGGTGTTTCACTGTAAACTCCACAGATGTTCCTGTGTTGTGTAACACGAGTGTCATCATCCCTGAAACTCTGGAAACCACAGCAGCAGCTGCAGCTTTCATCTCTTTTTGTTTGTAGAAACTTTCCTTCTTGTTTATTAGTTTTCTTTAAGTTTCAGTTTTTTCCWCCAGTTTCCTCTTTGCATCAATCACTGCTTCAGTCGGTTTCAGGGGCGGAGCCATGATGGCTGAGGTGGAGCCTGATTGGCCACCCCAGGTGTCAGCAGCTCATTTTATTTATTTATTTATTTATTTATTTATTTGTTTATGGTGTTCACAGTTCTGCTAATACACACCTAAAAACAAAGTTAACTTTTTAAAACCAGAAACAATTAAAACTAGATTTATTTATGCTAACTTTAAGTCTACTAATAAGAACTACTATCCCCTCACATGCATGAGGCTAATGTGCGTGTGTAGCATTATAGCCTTTTGTATGTAGCAGTTTAGCATTTTGTATGGTATAGCATCTTTAGCATTTTGTGTTTAGTATTTTTAGCATTTTGTGTGTAGCATCTTTAGCATTTTGTATGGTATAGCATCTTTAGCATTTTGTATGGTATAGCATCTTTAGCATTTTGTATGGTATAGCATCTTTAGCATTTTGTATGGTATAGCATCTTTAGCATTTTGT